ATCTATCTATCTATCTATCTATCTATCTATCTATCTATCTATCTATCTATCTATCAATCTTAGAAGTTACAAAATCACCCTCACCACTCCAAAATAAAAACGCCAACACAATCCCAAAAAAAGAAACCCACAAAAAAGACTATTACTAGAACAAAACATGAACATTGAAACTAACTAAATAAGACAATGTGCTTCTTGTTGATACCACAAATATTCAGAAATCTGCGCGAAATATAAAAGATTTAAGTCACTGTTTGAAACATTCATTGACACTTTATGAGTAGGTCGTACAAACAAATTGTCTTTTTAATTGTGATTTGGAGGTACAAATAGGTCCATCGGAGAGTTAGTTTTTAGTCTTTTATTTATATCAAATACCTAACGTTCTTATATTATACCCTCCTTGTTTTCTTTGTAAGTTACTTTCCAGCAACGCCTCTAATCTTCGGAACGTATATATGACCTGTGTTGCAAGTGCCGTAAAACTTTTACTACAACTAAAATGAAGAAAAATTAGGGACAGAAAAAAAGAAATGTAGTTTCTTGTCCTGATGCATAATGAAGTAAAAAATCACCTACCCATAAGTTCTTTAAGGTATGGTGCTTTGTTGGGGATTTTATGCTTGCTTATTTGTTTGTTTGTGTGTTTGTTTATTAGTTTGTTTATTTGTTTGTTTGTTTTCTGCGGGGGGAGGAGGGAAGGGGATATAAATGTTTCGTAAGAAACGCTACTCACCAGATAAGAGCTTGGATCAGAAAAGTCGAGAACCTCGTAGCCAATAGAGCCACCGCGGAAATGCTTAATGGCGACTAACAAAGATGGCAGCCACAAGAGGATCAACAGGCCCAGAGAAAAGCACCCGAAGAGGCGGCGAGGCTCCCTCATCTCAGAAATGCTCTTGCTCTCTTCCTTGTTCTGTATCAGATATGGAAAAATATGGCAAAGCGTAAGATATTCCTTCTTTTTAGACAACAAGTGAACTGGGGGATACAAACAAAAGGTTTTCGTCTTTTTTAGACGTACACTGGGGTAGGCGTTGAAACAGAATCTTACAGCAGTTAATGATACAAATGTTTTGTTGTTGTTATTGCTTTTTGTTTATAAGCTTGCATTTCTGCTCGTTCTGTTGTGTTGTTCTTGCTGCTACTGCTGTTGTAGATGCTATTATTTTTACAGTTGCTTTTATTTTCTTCTTCCTCTTCCTTCTCCTCATCCTCTTCCTCCTTCTCTTCCTCCTCCTGGTGGGTTTTTAATTATGAAGCAGTTGCGTGCTCTTTAAAGGGGGAAAAACTGCACACACAGAAGACAGAATCAACATTTAGTTAATTTTTCACTTTTCATCTTTAAATTCTAATAAAGTGTTCCCCATCAGGCTGTATCAGCTACTTGAAAATTTAAGACAGAAAAGATGGAATTAACAAAGAAAAAACAACTATAAGATGAAAACAGTAAAAAGAGACCCTTATACACTATGAATACACAACCTAATCATTCATATATGTACGTGTAAGCGTGCTCGTGTGATAAGCAAGTAGATGTGTGTGTGTGTGTGTGTGTGTGTGTGTGTGTGTGTGTGTGTGTGTGAAGCGACTAGAGCTGTGTTTTACACGGGAGTGGGCGCTATAGAAATGATCTTCATTATTATTATTATTATATGTTTCATAACAAAGATATCAGCAGTCAGGACAATCCAACACATGGGGAGTCTGGAAAACAACAACAACAGCAACAACAACAGCAACAACAACAACAACAAGGCTTTATGTAAATAACTGAGACAAAATATCGATTTATTACGATAATAAACGTTGCATAGTAACCATGCAAACAAGTAACTATTGACTCATTCAACAGACAAAACCTATATTGATATCAACTGTCAAGCACACAGCAGATAGTTTTGGGTGTGTTCGTCCTTCCTGAAACATGTTTAAGTTATTAACAAATTGTATTGAAGTAATAGTAACATCTCCTTATCGAAAGACTTAAAACTCCCCTATTCGCTGATTACAGCAGCTTTAACAACTCGAATATACTACGAAACAACGGCAAACCAGGTACAAGCATCATCAAAAACTCCGAACCCCTCCCCCACATCCTCCCCCCCCCCCCCCCCCACACACACACACACACTTGCATACGGGTCCTCCGAGATTTTTCACCCTTGTTCGAGAAGGCTAGGTGTAGATCTTTCCTACCAGAAGATCAGGGGTGTGGCAGAAAGACAGCAGTAAGGAGGAGCCAAGGAGTAGCAGTAGAAAGGCTGCAGAAAGCGTCAGGAGCCCAGAGGAGGGGGGAAATGAGGTGAGGGGGTGGGGGCAGAAAGTGGAGATGAAAGCAGATAAAAGAACATTGCTAGAGAGCAGGAAAGGAGGTGAAAGGAGACAATTTTTAAAGAAGAAAATTTTTCGATCCCTACACGGATTCGAACCCGGGGCCTTTGAATGAGAGGCCAACACCTTAACCTCTAGGCCACGAGAGCCCCCGTAGTAGTAGTAGTAGTAGTAGTAGTAGTAGTAGTAGTAGTAGTAGTAGTAGTAGTAGTAGTAGTAGTAGTAGTGGTGGTGGTAGTGGTAGTGGTAGTGGTAGTAGTAGTGGTAGTGGTAGCATTTGATGTTGCTGTCATTATAATTATCATTATCACCATAATCATTATTATTATTATTATTATTATTATTATTATTATTATTATTATTAATATTATTATTATTATTACATGTATTACTATTATTATTATTGTTGTTGTTGTTGTTGTTGTTTTTATTATTATTATTAATTGGCTACTACTATTATTATTATTATTATTATTATCATTATTATTATTATTGTTGTTATTATTGTTGTTGTTGTTATTGTTGTTGTTATTATTAATATCATTATTATTATTATTGGGGAGGGGATTGTTTTGTTGTTTTTTTGTTTTTGTTTTTTTTAATTATTATTATTAATTCAAATCGAGATGACCCAGAGTTCCTCTACTCTAGTACATCCACCACCTGGAAGCCTTACTGGGAGCTCCTTGGCCACCACCGTCTACCCATCATTATCGCTACGGTCATGATCATCATTGCCTTTTTCATCCTGGATCAGGATATAGTCTAAGAATAAACACTTTCCACCTTTCCCTATCCTGAACGAGTCGCTTGAGCTCACTCCATGTCTTCCCACTTTTCTGTACATCCATTTCCGTGACTCTTCTCCTGGTTCCACGTGGTCTTCCCCTTGATCTTTTACCCTGTGGGTTTCAATCTAACACTTTCCTTGTTATGCGCGGCTGCTTGACTTCCTAAAAGTGTGTCCAATCTTTCGCTAACGCCTTCTTCCCACCTCATCTCTGATGGGGCTCTATTTTGTTCTTCTTAATACTTCCTCGTTTGTGATCCTGTCTGTCCATCTGATCCTAAGTAGCGCTACGGTATGTACTAGTAAATAAGAATAAGTTCTTTCTCGCTATGAAACTTCCAACTTACCACAGGCGTCTCGTCTCCCCGCCTCGCAGAATGAGTTGTCCCGGCGACTCTTGGTTTATACTATAACAAGTCGCATTACGAGACGAGCCCTTGTTATACGACGCGTCCGATGTGTCAATCAGTAAGGGGATTGTGTGATACCCCTGCAGGATAATGCATGTCCTATCTTTTATTTGAGGTTCGAAGTCTGCCTTTCTGTACAATGAAAGAGAATTATAAGATCAAATTCCAGAAAATGGGTGGTTAAGGGGGGAGGGGGCGGGGCAGAGGTGAGAGCAAGAGAAGAGAGAGAGAGGGGGGGGGGGACAGAGAGAGAGCGCGCGATCGAAAGAGAGAGCGCGATCGAGAGAGTGAGAGAAAGAGAGGGGGAGGGAGGGGACACACACACACACACACACACACACACACACACACACACACACACACACACACACACACACACATACACACAAGTGAGAGCACACATACAGGAAGAGAGAGAGAGAGAGAGAGAGAGAGAGAGAGAGAGAGAGCAATCGAGAGAGAGAGAGCGATCGAGAGAGAGAGAGAGAGAGGGTGTGTGTGTGTGTGTGTTTGTGTGTGCGTGTGTGTGTGCGTGTGTTTGTGTGTGTGTGTGTGTGTGTGTGTGTGTGTGTGTGTGTGTGTGTGTGTGTGTGTGTGTGTGTGCGTGTGCGTCTGCGCGCCCGTGCACGGAGAAGAGACAGACTGGGAGAAAGAAAGAGAAGCATCGCGTGGTTGTTTACAGTTCAAAAAGCTACGCAACCCCTGTCAGTTTATCATCATCAAGTGTCAGATCTGTGGTAGACATCGGTGATCGTGGTTCGCTATTCATCTTTTTTCTTTTTTTTTTTTTTTTGTTGGTGCTCTGATGCTCTCAAAAAAGCGATGTTAGATCTGGCCTGATCTTTCCGTGTCACCCATCTATTTAGTAAGTTTACCAGGATCCACCCTGCCTCGTTTATCTTCAGTTTTGCAAGTGAGGCAGAGAGCTTTAGGGCGATCAAAAATTCAAGGCGCAACTTATCGTCAAATATTATCTCTTCAACGAGCGAATCAGTGTCAGCCCTTCATTGCACAGCAGTCTCTATCAATTTGTCTTGACTTAATCATATTTTTTCCACAACAATTGCATGAGACTTGATATGATCAAAAGACTTTTCTTCCTAAAATTATATAAAACACTACATGTATAATCTCCTTTCCGTGGAAAATGGGATTGTTCATAGCACTTCCCGCTTCCCACACACATTTTTGCATTCGCTCGGCCAACGTCACAGCTCACCAATGACACTTTTAGTTGCAAAACTTGTTACAAGAAAGTAATCTTATAGTAAACACTTATTTTGTACCAAAAGTTCTCAAAACATGCGTTCAATAAGCATAACATCGCGATTAGAAAATATGACGGATGCTTTTAAAAGCGATATTACCTCTGCTGTAAACATTTTAAAATCAGTAGAAACCACCCTCTTGGATTTTTAATTAGTATTTAGATCTATTAAGGAATTTTCTTGAATACAGCTAACAGGTGTTTACAAAAGTATTGATCTGCTTAGACAAACTGATACAAGTCGTCCAAAATCTGGAGAGTCTTTGTTCCATAGCTTAGATTTGACAATAAGTTGCGCCATGAATGCTTGGCCGCATTACAGATGTTCAAGTTCAAGGCCCTTATATAGCCTATGTCTTTTCGATTGTCCCTCAAACTGCAAATTTGTCTCTTCGTTTTTGTTTTTATCTGCAAGCAGCCCACTTGGGCTTCTTCAAATGCAACCTTATTTGATTTTTTTTTCCTTCTACAAATTTTCAACTGTCTACAAAAAAACATTTCTGTTGCATCTGTTATATTCCTCTACTCCCTCCCTCCCTCTCTCTCTCTCTCTCTCTCTCT